CACCATCGCTACTATATATGCTACTATTAGATTGCTCTCTTGATAACTCACATCTTCACTGCCGATCTCGTGCCGTGGTGTTTGGTCGTGATCCGCGGTCCGATCGGCAGCAGCAGCTCATGTACAGCATAGCGCTCGGCAACAAAAAGCCTTGCAGCAACAACCTATCTGTCATCTTTGAACAACATCCAAGGACCCAAAGTTGTTGCCAGAACAGGATGAACAAAAATCTTGCAGCTCATTTGGGTACTTCAAAGCTTACTGCTCAGAATGCGTAGGTACTGCCGGAGGTACACATCATCGAAACGATATTGCAAAAATATGAACTGCACACTGCACACCATGCCATGCATTGCAGTTCGCGCAGTTCTGGGCATTCGCACCTATTGCCCCACTGTGCCCCACAGGCCAGCCCCTGTCAAACAAGGTGGAAGGAAGCAGAGGATTCAGTGTCGATGTGCTTGCTTAGTGATTGCATAATGTAGACTCTTGTTTAATGTTACACCCCCCCGTTTGGAGTCTAAAACCTCTTTCTATGATTTCATTTGGGTGTTTTTAAATCAAGAGTCGACAGAATAGTTATTTCATACATCCTGAGGTTTGCCAACCTGCGGTCGGAAATGGCCATGTGGCCAGCTCGGAGTGTGAAGGAGATCCAAATGAAGCTCATCACTGCGGACCTCACTCGAAGGAATACCAGCTATTTGGCATCACGAAGAAATAAATGAAATTAGAATTACATCGTGAAAAACACAGCGTCTGGGTCCCCAGGCCAATCGTCCAAACAAACGATTGAAACCTCCAGCATTTGGCCTCACCACAACTCGCCAAGCTTCTTGAGACTCATGGTTTCTTGCACCTTTGGTGTACAAAGTCATGAGTCTTCATCCCCGCTCCATGCATGTATACGGATTGTCTCTGGTGTCGCAGCGTCGCACAGAATCTGTATGTCACGTCTTGTGTCATCTGTCGTCTGCTGGTCTAAGATGCGGTCTTGACAAAGAACTCACGTCGGCATTCTTCGACGATCGCCCTGGATGGAGTGATTGGTCGCTCCGACGAAGAGTGAGGGCGGAGCGGACGAGAAGACGGCAGAGTGGAGATGTTTGTCCGAACAGCGCTTGAAGATGCTTGAAAAGGTGCCTGCCCACTTTGATGCATGTTTCATGTTTCAGTTGAATCAGTATGGAAACACCAAACAAAGCAAGCATACACTTAGATCCAACAAGTCTCCCTGTAGTCTAGGTACTTCCACGTGGCTATTTTGTTTGCTTCTACCCATTGGGCCATTTCCCACTCAGGCTGCCGCCAAACAACGCCAATCGCCCAGATGCCCAGCAGCGCAAAGGTGCCTGGTCCGTCCGACGTCCGACGCGGCGACGGGCGCAGCGAGGTCTGAGCTCACGGGTGCCACAAAATGAAAAGGAAAAAACACCTCTCCCTCCTTTTGAAATACCAGGTTCATACGTTCTTCCAAAACTAAAAGCTCTTTTCAATCAGAGAATCGACCCCCAACATCTCAATCTCATATCTTCGCCCTCCTTTGAGTGACCTGTGCAACCCACACTGCCTTGCTGGAAGGTGGCCCAAGGCAAATGGCCCGGTGGTCGCCTGGATGGCGCTCATCGCTGCTCGAGTCGATCAGTGCGGTCCGGTGTCTATCAGGTAAGAGAGACAGCTTTTTTCGACAAACATGGCACATGGGAGAATATGGAAAACGATGGCACATGTTTGCTTTCCCATTGGATGTCAAAGACTTTTGGAGTGATTTTTGGTTCTTCACATCTTACTTCTTCCCAAAACACCTCTCTTCCGCCCACTCTCGCATGCGGCATGCGCCTCCTGAGCGGATTGACGTTCTCCTCGTGGGCCTGGGCGAAGACGCGTGACTCACCACTCACCACTCTCGTCCGTCCGATCCTCCGGATGCGTCCGGGGGGGCTCCGACCGACGGTCCCAGCTCCTCCGGTTGGAAGGTCACCGGTGCAACTGCCTTGGTCGAGCGAGTGATCGAGCGAGAGGCGGCTGGAGGCTGGAGGACATGGCTCTCTCTCTCTCTCTCCCGGATTTCTCATGGTCCAAAGCCGCGAATCAGCTGAAACTTAGAGCTGCTGCAGTGGCACCGAAAAAGGAGTCTGGCATGGCGTCAGCATTGCTCCCTGCGTTTCGAAAAACATCAAGCGTTCTGGATCCCGCCTCTTTTGTCCAACACTGCTTCAAGCAACTGTGTAAGCTCACACCTTTGTGTTCTTTTTCCAGGTCTGTCCATGTCAACTGTGCTTCACTTCCACCACTCTCTCACTTCCTCACGACGCTTCTGCATGCATGCATGCGCGCTCAACGCACCTCGCAAGAGCTGCGTCGTCGCCGCCGCGGCCTCGGTGCCCCACCGAAGCGGCGGACGGCGCGCGCGCGCGCGCGCGGCGACGGTGGACGGCCGCGCCTCGGCGGCGGAGTGGTGGGAGTCGAGGACGGCGTGCGACCTCACAGTCTCAGAGGATCAGGAGAATGACGGTGGGTTGAGATGGAGAATGACCGGAGCACATGGGAGCACATGGTTTCGGCTATAAAGGCAGCGGAGAAGAATAGAGACCACATGAGACCACTATTATGATTTGGGTGCGAATCTCGTGGTCTACTGAGTCTACTATACGTAAGAAAAAGTGAGTGCGTTTGCAGCGCAGGGTCCACTGATTGGGTCCGAAGGTCCATCGGACGGTTCATGGTGCAGGTTCTACATCATTGTCATCATCTGTCCCATTGGGATCTACCTTTCTGTCTCATATCATTCTCCAAATTCCGAATAACAAAAAACACATCTTGTCTTTGCATGTCTTTGCCATGTTCTATCCTGTTCCATTGCTTTGCATTGAGTAGCTTTCACAGATTCCTGAGATTCTACCCGAAACCAAGCCCAGTGCTGTTGCTGCTGTTGCTGCTTTTCCTGCACAATCAGGGTTGCTAGCGCCTCAGGACGCGGATCGCATGGTCAATGAGTCCGCAAGGATCACTCGAAAGATCCGAAAGAACGAGTACCGTTGCACCAACAAGCAACAGGGCACGAGTACCTTTTTGCAGCAACAAGCACCCATCTGCCTTATCAATTCCAACAAAGTATGCGTGTCCGCAACACATTTAAGTCATTGGCTGCGGATTGAACCGCAAACACCGAACATGAACCACACAAAAGGGAAGAAAACCCGACACTTTACAACAGTTTATACCAACTGATCATCCAAAGCCTCATCTAACCAAACGGAGCGGAAAAAGGGAACAACAAAAACACCGCGCCGTCGACTGCACGGGCATGGCTTCCGCTGCATCACTGAGCACTACACCTGCACCTGAGAGGCCAAGGTCTCAATGGCTTCCTCCAACTTGGAGAGGTCCGAGGTCAAGTCTGGCGCCTCAGAGCGATAGCATGCGATAGCGGTAGCCAGCGAAAGACAAAGCATCAAACGCAGGGAACAGGTGAAGTTAGCCCAAAGAAGAGAATTCCGTTGAAATTGAGGGAGTTCTTTCTCAAAGCCAAGGGTTCGAATGGACAAGATTGGGGCAAACTGGAACATGAGCATGATTACAAGGGTCAAACACAAAGTCCATTTGGGCACGGATCTATTGATCGCCAAAAACCATTGCGCCATGGACTTTCGATTATGGACCACCTGCGCCATTTTGGCACGGATCTTCATCTGCAAATCAAACGATGGGAGTGAGGCATCTACTTCTGCATCACATACTGAAGAAAAAGCATTGGCATTGCCGACATCCCAAAAAAACAGCTATCGCTCCCATCAGACTCGGGCAGAAGGCATGGTCCATTTGCTTTCGCCGCTGTCCGGGTCGTACCAATACCTTGGGGAGCGCCGAACCAACTCCGGCGCGATGGGTCGTGGCGGGTGCTCCGGGTCGTGGCGGGCGCAGCCGAGAAGCTCCATGGCATGACCCGAAGAGTTCCACTCCAATTGCAGCCATACCTCGAGCAACACAAAATGGTGGGAAGGTCCGTTCTGCGGCGGGGCCAAGGCTGAGAAGACGGCTGTGGTGCCAAGCGGAGGACCGCCCTACGCATCGTTCTCCAGAAATGACGAGTGTAGAAATCACTGGAAATCTGGTGTAGTAGCGTCCTTGCTACTAGTAGTAATGGCCTCCAACCTATATAATAGCGATGGCCTCCAACCTAGTAGCTTCTTGCTACTAGAGTCTCCACAGGACTCCAAGGTTTCGACCATCAGCAAGTCACTCGATGTCTTTGTTTTGTTCAGGGTGTCCATCGACAGTCATTCCTACCACTGTCTTGTGTTGTGCTACAAGAAGCACCTGATCGAATTCCCGGCTTAGCCAGGCTGAGAATTAGAATGCGAAACAATAGGACCGCTCCAGTTCGCTTGCACTGCCATCTCGCTCATGGGACTTTGTCCTGCAATACCATTTTTGAGCATCTGCACTCATGGCAACACACAAGTTTTCCAGGTGGTTGCCTCTGAAGCATCCAACTATCCATCGGAGTGCCTGATCTGTGTTGATATAGCAAGGCACACAGCAAGGGCAACAAACAGTCCTGCGCCCCCAAGCCAACAGAGACGGGATCCAATGTGATCTCATTGGCAGTCCAAAGAAAGCCTGAGTGACGCTTGAGCGCACACAGCCGCGGGGGTTGGCGATGCTTGGTGTTTTGGCTGTGTGCTGACAGGGTCCGCGTGTGTGTCGTCCCTGAACTTTGCAACCAGGACTGGAGAGCGTATGTCTTCTGCAGAACGTCTACATTCTTCGGTCCGTCCAAACGTTTTCCAAATTTGTAGGGATGGTCTCCCCAGAATTGCCGTGACGGGATCACTTGCTTGTCAATCTTCTTGGGCTCCTACTATAGCTCGACATAACTGTGTTGCATGGTCCAAGCACAGCGAAAGGAAGCAACTTGTTAAACACATCTTCGGCCAATTCTGAAGATTTTTGGAGTGCACTCTTTTCTCTATATAGTTACTACTGATGACCATGACTTAGTAAGCTAAACAAAAAAAACACTTTGAAGCACCTCGGTCCATTCCCCCAAAATAAGACACACTCCGGTCTCCACCTCGGTCCGAGTCGCTGAGGGCGGCGAAGACTTGCGCGGCGGAGCAAATCCAAAGGAGATGGATTCCGATGTTCACTCCGCCTTTCGGAATCCGTGTCGTGGCCCCGTCTTTCGGCCACCAACCCGCGCCGCGCGGGGATCGGGTGGGTCGCGTCGCGTGTCGAAACGCCGCGCGAGGCGTTTCTGTGTTCGGGTCTCGTGTGGTGTTGTCTCTTGTCTGAGAAACGGGAATCGAGGAGTTGGAGGATTGGAGGATTGGAGCTTCTCAAAAAGCAAAATGAGATCCGGTCTTCTGGTAGCAGCATGTAACCAGCGTAGCAGCACATCTATATAGTTAAGTATCAGCGCATCTTGTTCAACAGCCATCCACATCCCGCCTAGGTGAAATCACATCGGCTCTCGTTTTCTCGATTCTTCTCTCGTGGCCTGGATCCAGGATGCCCACCATGGCTGGGCCCAGATTCCCCACCAGTGCCGCAACACCCAGAAGCATGGAGGTGGCTTGACCTGTCGCAGTAGTAGCTGGCAGGGTGTTCACACGTTTGCCAGTGTTTTGTTTTTCCAGCGGTTTGGTGTCCAAGCAATTCTGTTCTGGGGTCGAGAGCACATTTCAGACTTCTGTGAGGAACCCAAATGGCTTTTGTTCAAAATTGGGAACCTGACACTTAAACCTCCAGAAGGAAAACAAAGTGCACACTGTTGGCTCTAGCTTTCCGAACAAGCCCCCATTGTTCTGGACACCTTGCTTTGTCCATCTTCGATAAACTTGGACACCCGGCTAATATTTCTTATACCAGGACGCGTGTGGATTTTTCCAGCAAAAGGATGGCAGAAGATGACTTGATGTTACTTGTCCAAGTTCCATCATGCTCCTACTCTTCAGCATGAATACCTCTCTCATCCTCTCTCACACTGGTCACTGCAGTCCGAATCTTTGCTGACACTGTGATTCTTTATGAAACACAAGCTCTAGCTCAGGGGCCACAGACACCCATGCCTTGTCATCTTCTTTAACGTCATCTGTCATAGATCACTGTGCTTCACATGAACAGAGGCATCGATCTGTCTGCCTCTCCGACTGCCGAGAGATCGAGAGATCCAGAGATCGAGGCACCGAGATGTACCGAGGCACCTCGAACTGAAGATCGCAATGCAAGCTGTAGAAGGTTCATGGAGGGTCCCAGGAACGCGTCACCAATCACCAGCACTGCGAAGTAACCTCGGAAAAAAAAAAAGACTTAAGATGGATGGAAACAGTGTTCACACGGTGCAGTCACGAGGAAAAAGACCATCACTGAAACAGTATAGTGACTGAGTGCTGGAAAACTGTCTGCGAAGTCATTGATCGTGCTTTTGCAATCTCAAGATGTCCTATACTTTCAAACGGTCTTCATGTCTGATTTCTTTTCGCACTCTGTGATGCATAGGACTGAATAGATCCAAGGGGCAAAGAAGGGACGTTCTAAAGTACCTTCGCAAAGAAAGAACAACTCCGGAATCTCGAGAAGCAATCTCTCAAAGTGCACAAGAATTGTCACACCTCTCTCTTTCACGGCTGCAACAGTATAACACGGGCTCCAGACCAACACCCTGAAGGGATCCCTTCTTCTTCGCAATAAAGCTTCTTGTTCTTTCTCCACGTCCAAGGCACTGGGTCAAGAGCATCATGAAGATCAATGGAAGGGAGACCAAAGCTCCCATGAGCCCCAGGAAGCACGGCGCTCGCACATCCCGCCGGCTCCAGGTGTGTCCTGCGTGCGCAAAGCACCGGTCTCAGGTCCACTGAAGACGTTTTGGGATTCCTTTTTTTCTGACCCACAACCCTTCTTTCTGACCCATATCCTTTT